CATGACTTCTGACGATCATATTTTGCCCAAGTCAGAGATCTTTTCCCTCTTTGCGGAAGATGGCGGCCACTACGTGATGTTGGCCGTCAGCTCGACGGGCAAGACCAATATGGTCATCGATAGAGAGAGAGAGGCGGACGAGCTCACCAAGGACGACGTGATCAAGTACCGAGCCGAGCGCGGTTGTGCATTAAAGGCTTGAAGGACATGCAGCAGGATCGCCCGGGCACTTTCAGCGCGACCGCCTCGAGGCAGAGTCAGAGGATTGTGAATTTCATCGCGGCGAATCGACCGAAGTGGGTGCTGTGGTCTTGTGACATGGGCAGTGCTTTTCTGAAGGGACTCACGTTCCAAGACGTGGCCGACATGGCCAGCGAGCCCCTCAGAACCGTTCAGCTGGGCTTGCCCAAGGTCACGGTGAAGATAGCTAGGCAGTTCGAACAGCTGTCTAAATATGATGTGAGTCAGCAGTGCCTGGAGATGCTGCGTCCTGGCTTTGGTCTCAAGGATGCGCCGAGACTATGGAATCTCAGGCTGAAGCAGGTGATGACCAAGCTGCAGCTCTTGTCGCTGGTTACGGATCCTTAGTTTTATTGCAAGTGGGCTGGGTCTCGATGCCATCCTGTCCCTCGAGAACTTGTACCCGCGAGCGTAGATGAGGACAAGGTTCGAGTGTCAGACGTGCTGTTCACCGACCCGCAGGTAGCGATCGAGGACTTACAGATGGTGTGCAGCACTCACGTGGACCATCTCAAGGGTGCCTCGGCCGAGTCGATCGCCGACGCATTCATGGGTGCTCTTGAGTCGGAGTTCGGGAAGCTCACGAGGCAAAAGCGAAAGTTTGAGCACTGCGGCGTTGTTCACGATCAACACGAGGACGGATCAATGTGGCGCTCTCAGGACCACTGCGCTGCGCAGGTCAGGCCCACAAGATTCGAGCAGATGAGGAACCCCTCGAACATCAAGACCGAATTTCCTTTTGGTCACTCCTGGGTGGAGTTGCCTGGATGCTAGTCACCAGGGCGGATGTTGCAGTGCATATCGGATACCTGCAACGACGTGCTCACGAACCCTGCTGAAAGCATGCTCGACATTTGAACTCAGTTGTACGTCGGATCAAGAGGAAGAAGAGTTCGCTGGCCTATTATGCAGTACCTCTGCCATGGAGTGTGGTGGGTTTCCCTGGTAGTGCTTTTCGTGCGACGGAGCCGGGCTGTTTGGCCGTCCGGGCGGCGGTCATTGCGATCGCAGGTCAGGACTTCATGCCCAAGGGAGGCCTGTGCGCGACAGTGGAGTTCTATTCGCGAAAGCAGCCCCGGGTTAGTCGTTCCATTTTCTCGGCGGAGCTGGCGAGCGTTGACGACGGCATGAGCAATGCGTTGCTGACTCAAGTGATGGTGTGTGAGATTGATCGTGGCCCATTTACAGCGAAGCAGATTCAGCGATGTATGGACACGGGGTGGTTGCCAGTCGACCTGCGCGTGTGTGCAGACAACCAAGGCCTCTTTACAGCGCTAGGTGCCGCGGAATCGAAGGCACCTGCGGAACCGCATCTTTGGTATCTACTACGTGCTCTACGGGACCGACTGGAAGCTGGGACTCTGCACAAACTTTGGTGGGTGGACACTCGAGCCATGATCAGTGACGCGTTGACCAAGGGTGGTTTGGCTCGAGAGCCCATACTTCAGTTATGGGAGACAGCAGTGTTGATGATGATTGGAGATGAGCGCCTGGCCCTATGCTTACGGGGACCTCGCGGAGATACGAGTTAGTTGGAAGTCAGATGAATCGTGATGGTTTTATTTTGACGATGAGTGGAATATCCTTTGTTTACGAGTTGACTATTGTACCTTTGCGAGGAGGCTTTCTTTATCCTCTTCCTGGTTTACTCTGTTGTGGACCGCATGCACCGCCTGTGAGAGATTTGGTTTCTCTCGTCCTCTCTCTTCGTCAATGTTGATGTCATTCCTACAATTGTCGTGCGTGGTGATTATTCTAGTGATGTGGTGCCTGTGGCACCATCAGATGTTTTCTTTCGGAAGAAGAGTCAAACAGTCCCCTTTTTTAGCCTCTTGAGTTCCCTCGGATCATCTTGGGGGCCCAGATATAGAGCGTTGTTCTTTTTTGGGCAGCTTGCCTATCAGAGGTCGGTTGGCAGAGGCGGGTCAGCCGCGGCTAATGATCTGCTGTGCTTTCAGTGAGTGTGTGGAATCAACTCGTAGACTTTCGCTTCGTTTTCCCACCCCGAGTTGAAGTGTAGAGATCCTCCCGAGACATGGGAGGGGCAGCCGGGATTGCGCAGCAGATGGCAAGAAGGTAGTAGCATGTGTACTGGACAAGGCGGCTCCGACGCCGCCTTTGCTCATGCCGGATTGGTGCGAGGCCGGGCTCAGTGCCCCCGTGTAGCCTGTCCGCGGCGGCCAGCCTCTCCCCCCTTTCATGTCAGATAATCAAGATTACCTTCAAGACGTTGATCATCCAGATCCTCTTCATCTGTGTGGCCCTTCGGGCCAGTTGGGCCCTTCGGACCAGCTGCTGCGTTTCACCATCGTTGGCGGACGCGCCGACCGCAGATCAAGACCCTCAGGAGGCGTTGACCGGGGAGAGCGCGTACCAGCAAAACAATTGGGGGCGGACAAGGAGGAGGACTGGGAGGAAGACTGGGAGGAGGACTGGGAGGAGGAGGTGGAGGAGGAGGAGGAGGAGGAGGAGGAGGAGGAGGAGGAGGAAAAGGAGGCACCTGTGCCACTGGGTGCCTTCGGGCGTCCCAGAAAAACAGGCGGGTTGCAGCCCGTTCGTCGCCCCTGTTTGCCCGTGGTGGGCCCGTGCACGTAAATCATTTAGGACGGCCGAGCGAGGGTACTGTTGCCAACCCCAGCGCGCATGGACTGAAAGCGCCACCCCTTGGGCCAACTACCTCAGGGGATGAGCCCCCCCTCTGCCGCCGGGTCGAGTAGCGCCGACCTGGAGTTGCACCATCGGCGCAGGGCTCCGCGGGCCGATCCTGGCTATGCCCGCCGCGAAGACCCCGTCGATGCGCTGTGCATTCAGCCCCGACGGATGACCACTTTTTACCGAGCGTGGAATCACAAAACCAACGCCCGCGTCCTCAGCAAGCTGAAGAAGGACTGCGGGGCCTCCTTCGTCGAAGGTTGGAGCGCTCTCTGTGGCGCCCGGGGTAGCCAGGCACCGGGGCGAGGGACTTGCAACCCCGAGGGGCAAGACGCTTTCTGCGAGGAGCTCATGAAATACCTGTATCGCGAATATTTCGGCGTCCGCAGGGTCGGCAGGTTGCGGGGGGTCCATGTGGATTGGGGAGCTGTCTGGGGAACCGCAGCGAAACAAAGGCAAGGGCAAAGGGAAAAGCCGCGACTCGGCCGGGAAAAGCGAACGACGCGCCGACACCACCTGGCCCAACAACGAGCTGTCGAGGCAACGCCGTCTGGACCCGACATGCCTGCCTGGCCTCTAAGGCCGTGGTGCCGCGGCCGGCCCAGGACAGCCAACGCTGCTTGCCCGCCCGCCGCCAGCCTCCCCTCGCTGCTCCCCCAGTACAGCAGGTCCACCAGTCGGGGATCCAATCTGGCAGTCGCCCCTGCTCAGCTCAGACATTTTCCCAGGACGGTATGCGGCCTGCGGCCCCTGCGCATCCAAGCTGTCATGTATCTGCGCGCGCTGGCCCATCGCGCACCGTCCACCCAGAGTGAGGGGCACCGAGTCGCATCAACTTCAGCCTCGTCGCCGCATTCTGAGCCATCCTGGTGCCCCTAGACACCGCGTGCCGTCCACCCCGACGGCGCGTGACGCATGACCCTTCAGCTGGGACCTTCCATGCAGGATTCCAGGTGCCCTTTGATCGGCCGCGTGCTGTCCGCCCTGGCAGCGCGCGGCTCTCCGCGGCTTCGGCCGCCATTCCTTAGCAAGGATTTGCACCGTGCACCGTCTAGGTGCCCCTAGACCCGCCGCGAACTGTCCACCCCAGCGGCGCGTGGCCCCGCGGCTGATGCCGTAGTTTTGTTCCAGGCTGTGCGCTTGGTCGGTAGCCCCTTGCTGGGCGGCCCCAGGGCGTGCGCCCGTGCGCCCGGTGCCGTGCCCTGCCAGCCTGTGGATGCGGGGGGATCGTATGTGACCGCAGCAGCGCAGTGCGCGGGCCGCCCGCCTCCGGCTCCCGCTGGCGCAGGCGCTCATGCTGTCGCCCCGCCTGCGGGGACCTCCCTAATTTCAGGCGGGGCGCTCCTCCTCCCTGCCCTTTCCCCCCTTCCCCTTGCCTTTCCCCCCTTTCTTCCGCGCGCCGCCATGGCGCTTGCGCTGCTGCAGCAGCGGGCAGGCCTCCCCGTATGCAGTGCGTCTGGGCTATCAACCGATGGTAGCACACGAAGTCTACTCGGGATTGTTCGTAAAGAATTGATAATCTTGATTATCGGCCGTATGAAATGAAACGCAACCTTATACATGACTCAGGGGCCCCTGAACATCAAACGGCGATGGTACATGGCAATCGCATTGCAACGCTGCAAGCAATACTTCACGTCTGTGCTAATCTGCATACACACTGGCAATAATAAACACTACACAAATTCGGTAGAACAGGGGTGATATCGACACGGGCGGAAAAAGGAGTTAGCACAGATTCGCTATAAACCAATCATCGCCTAGAACAGGGCTCCCCGGAACTTTACCAGGAAACAAAACTCAACTCGAAACTAAACAGAACTTCAAAACGTTCGGGAACAGGACCGAAGCTAAAACAGACAAACATCCCTGACACCGCAGGTCCCAGGACACAAACCTTGTCCGACAAGACTGTGAAACCACCGGCGGTCGCGACAGCGACATATATCTCCTTAATTATTTTCGGCAGCCAGGCGATCGGTCGACCTCGCCTGGCAAACAAGTCCGCGCCTCCGACGGCGCTCAGCAAGTCGTGCTTCTCGAAGCACCTCAGCAAGTGCGGCATCGCCGCCATGTCGCCATAGGCGTGGGTCCCCTCGTCGTAACGATCAGCTGAAGAATGCCCCGTGGGCGTACTCTGGCAGCGGCTGGAACCTCGGCTGTGCCAGGTCTAGATTGTAGCGCGTCGGAGCCTGGCAGCACATGTCGCGCGTCTTCTTCTGCTTGATCGGCTTCGTGCTCGTTCCTGTCGTGGCGGTCTCCGCCGTCGTCGATCTGGTCGGGACTTGTCCCGTCTCCAGCTCCAGCGTCTTGTAGTCTGCGCTCGTCGTCTTGCTCGTCAGGTGCATCCACCACACCCCTGCGCAGAACCCACAGCCGAACGCCAGGATGAGGCATATCACGATGCCGAGCATGAGCAGCTTCGTGATCAGGTCGCTCCAGTCGTCGGGCGCCGGTGTGTTGAACAGCTCAACGCCGCTGGGCGTGTACTTCATCAACTCTCCGGCTGCACTCGATGCTCCGCTCGCTGCCAAGGTTGCCGCCAACTTCGCACCACTCGCGCCAAAATGGCGCTTCCTCTGTTTGGGCTTCTCCTTTGGCTTCGCCTCGAACTCGTCCGCCAGGTCATCTCCAGCCTGGTCCAGCTCCTTCTCGCGCTGCTCCATCGCGCGCTTGGTCAGCTTCTTCCCGGCCACGAAATTCGGGTCGTACCGTAGAGCGTGAACTCCACGGCGCAGCACGTCCGCCATCTGCTGGCGTGCGGAGAGCTTCGTCAACCCGTCCGCCATCTGCTGCTGGGTGTTCACCCACTTCCACACTGCGCCGATCTCTTCCATCTGCTCGTTCACAATCTTCACCTCGATGGCTGTCCGCTTCTCCGTGATGCCCAGGCCTGCGGTGGCTGACCTTGAGGCGTCGTAGAGACACTTCGCGTCCGTGATGAACGGCGACTCTCCGAGGTACAGCATCGCTTGGTCTGGCTTGAAGTCTGGCCGCAAGCTCAGCGTCAGGTAGATCTTCACCCACATCAGCGAGTCCACGCCTAGCGCAGCTGCCTGCGCCTCCGCGGACAGCGAGCTCCTGCACAGCCGCACGAGCTTCTTCGAGGCCCACTCCATCCCCACGAACGGTGTCGGGTTGCCGTTTCGCAGGTCGTCGTCGGGTCCAACGAAGATCGTATAGCCACCCTGCGAGCTCCCGTCCAGGCGGCTTGCCCAACTCGCGTCGGAGTAGCCTCCCACGCGCAGCTCGCTCCAGGCCTTGTCGAACCCGAAGTAGAGTCCCACGTCCGCGTTGGCCTTCAGAAAGCGCAGGTCCTTGTTCGCGTCAAGGAGGTCTTGCACCGTAGCATTTCCCGTGGCCGCTGCCCTGAAAGAAACAGTCGCTGCGGCTATCATCACTCCTTGAGCCGCGGGCCACTGCAGCTGGCCGTTCAGGGTCCTGAAACTGGTGAGCTCCCTCGGCGTCAGCGCGCTCGTCGGGTCTGCCCGACGGTGCTTCTCGATGGTGATGGGCTTCACCGCGTGCAGGTACTTCTCGAACTTCAGGGTCACCGCGTAGGTGCTGAGAGACTGCTCTACCTCGCCGCCAGTGAAGATCAGGCTCGGCCCGAAGTCCCACTTGCCGAACGTGAACTTCTGGTTGAGCGCGCCCAATCTCGCTTGGAAGCACTCCGAGTTGTCCAGCATGGTGTGCAAGTCGTCCTCGCAGTTGACTCCCTCGCCGCATCCGATGAAGTCGTCCACGTGCTTGCCGATCAGACCGTCCACCACGTAGGTCTGGTCCTCGAAGCTGCACACGTCGAACGGGTCGTCCTCGACCTTCGCCGGGCGCAGGGACAGCAAGAGGCAGTCCTCGAGCCAGTGGTTCCTGAACCCGATCTCCTTCGTGACTTCATCGGACCGGTAGTGCCAGAGCTTCGGCGACCTCCGGTCCCCGAAACATGGCTTGATCATCTTCAGCAGCTGTCCAGGTTGCAGGCCGATCTGCTGAGAGAGCATCTCCCTCATCTCCTTCGTCGGGCTCGCGTACAGCTTGAGTCCGCGTACGCTCACGTCCTCCGCCTGCAGGAATGCGGACTTCACATCCGCCGTGAACAACCTCCACTTCCGTAGGGACGCCCAGAGCATGACCGTGTGCCGGCCCAGTCTGCTCAAGGTCGGCGCCTCTTTGTCGAGCTGGCCCTCGGCGACGTCGCGATGCTTGAACCCCTGGTACAGCACGCGCGCGTTAGCCACCTTCTGTCCGTCTTTCATCTTCCACTTCAGCAAGAACCGCAGCGGACAGCAGGCTGCTGGGTCCACGTCTTCCTCGTTAATGGGCTCCCAGCCGTCGTTCTGATTGAACACCTCGAGGGCCTCCAGCTTCGCTGCGTAGAACTGTTCCTTCTCCTCGGGCGTCAGCTTTCCCTCCACGATGGTGGGGGCTTTCCGCTTGAAGGCCAGCATGTAGACCGTCTCAGTGGACTCTTCCAACAATAGCATCTCGTCGTCCACTTCTTCAAGCAGCGTGGCGTGCTCGTCAGGAGGGTTCAGCTTGGCCCACGTCAAGCGGGCTCGCTTCGATAGCGGCACGCCATCCAGCTTCTCGGCCTCCTCTACGCTCCTCTTGGCCATCGTCTCGATGTGGAGCCGGCTGGGCTCTGGCGCTGCATGGCTCGATGCACTTCCGCTCGCGGCGGCGCCCGCATCAGCCGCTGGGGAACGTGGTGAGTCTCGATCAACTGCCTCCACGCCACCAGGATCGCCAGGCTGAGCCTCTTCGGGAGCTGCCGCTGCAGCTGCCCCCGATGCCTCGCCGGGCTCCTCCGTGTCTGTCTCCTGGACGTCGGGTCCCCGCGCCTGCGGCTGGTCCCCCATGTCGTCCAGGTTGTCGTCGTACTGGGGCGTCTGCCCCTCCTCCGCCAGGTCCCTGTAGTTGCAGGTGCCCTTCGTTCGCTTCAACGCGCGGCGCAGCTTCTCGATCAAGCTGAGCGGGCTGTCGGGGTCGTCCCTGCGGCCCTCGCGCTCGCGGGCCTCGCCTGGCAGTTCGGGTCGTAGCTGCTCGACCGTGCACCTGTAGATCACGCACCCGTGTGTGGCCCAGACCACTGAGGTGTGCATCACGTCGTCCTCGTTGGGCTTCGCCTCCACGGCCACCACCAGCGCGGGGCCGAACCAGTGGCACTTCTCCAGGCCACGCGAAGGCTCCGGTCTCCAAATGTAGACCCACTCGCCAACCTCGTATTCTCGGCGGGTCGGCCTGCTGCGGGCCAGCAGGGCTGCGCGCACGGCGCGCGAGCAGTTGGCCTCGATGAAGGCCGTGCCGGCAGCGACACGCCGCAGCATCATCTCGTGCACCTCGCTCCTCGGGTCGACCAGCGCGGACTGCTCGGCCAGGCCGAAGTCCTCGTCAGAGAGGGCGCCCGGCACGCGGGGCTGAGTCCCCAGCACCAGCATGGCGGGTGAGAACCCGTGCACGTTCCGCAGTAGGTTGCGCTGGCTGGCCGTCATCCGAAGGGCTGTCTTGAGCGAGTCGTCGGGGAACTGCATGTGGTACTTGCTCAGCTGCTCCCTCCGAACCGCGTGGTTCCGCTCCATCAAGCCCAGCTTGTGGTGCGCGCCCTTCGGTATCAGGTCGAGCTTGATGTCGTGCTTGCTCATCCAGGAGTGCATCTTCTTGGACGTGTGCGAACCGCCCATGTCCATGCGCATCGTCTCGGGCTTGCCGGCCCAGCTGATCCAGAGCTTCTCGAAGAGCTTCTTCTCCTTCTTGAAAGTCTCCTTGCGATGGGGTAGTCGACCTCGTAGCGCGTGAACTCGTCCATCATCGCTAGGATCTTCCGTTCCTTCGTCTTCCAGGTAACGTAGTACACGTCAGTGCTGACCACCTCGTTGAAGCGCTTGGCCTTCGGGAGCACGGCCACGCGCACGGTGCGCGGTCGCTGTCTCTTGAGGCAGATCTCGCACTGATAGAGCCTGGCGCACTGGATCCACTCTGCTGGGGCACCTGCGTGTCGCATGGCGTTGGCCAGCGCCGCATTCGAGGGGTGTCCCAGGCTGACGTGGGCGCGCTTGACCGCACGGATGGTCGAGACGTTGAAGCGCTTCAGCAGCTCCTGCATTACGTCTGTGTACTCGATGGCGTCGATGTCCTTGTGCACTTCCTCGGCTGTGTAAATCTCGTCGATGTCGGCGGCCATGCCCTGGTAAGCAATCAGGTAAGCCATCCGTCGAGCCATCGGTGCGGGGTAGTTCTGAGCCTGCTGGGCGAGCTTGCCGCGTAGTGTCACGTGCTCGCCCCTGCACTCGCACCTCAGACCCATGTGATCGACGAACTCCTTGTTAGTGGACTGCAATCGCGTCGGCTTCTGGTACGGCATGTCCACTCCCTTCATGGGGAACTTGGCTCCCAGGCGGCACTGGTCCAGTCGGCAGTGGTGTCCCGGCAGTGCCTTCCACGTCTTGGTGCTCCAGTGCGCTCCTGACCATGGGCCTTCCACGTAGGCGTGTCGGCCTCCATTCAGCTGCTTCACGAACGAGTCACGGACCAACTTCAGAAGCGTCTTCTCCTCGCGTACTCTCGCCTCGTGGATCTCCGCGGCGCGCTCTGCTGAGAGCGAGGCGTTCACGTACTGCCACGAGCACCATACTTTGCACGGGGGTGCGAAGAAAATGTCGTCGGGTCTCTCGACGTCGATCTTCCTCAGGAACGCCTTAATCACCTTCGGCTTGGAGAAATCCCAGCCGTCCTCGAGGCGGAACTGCATGACGTCCACCATGGGGTACTCGAGCAGCGCCTGCGACAGACCTCCTGCGTCCACGAATACCTCCCAGACCTTACGCGGCGGGGGTCCTCGGAGCATCTCCTTCATGCCGTCGTACGCCTGCTCGAGGGCCAGGGCCAGGTCGGTGTAGGTGTCGGGGTCCATCGTGCTCGGTCTAGCGCTCTCGCTCGAACCCGCCACCGAAAACTCCTGGGTCCGCTCACTTCCCACGTCGTCATTGTCACTGATGTCATAAAACTCGGTGACCGTCTCGAGGTAGTACGCGTCGGGGTCCACGTCGGACGATTCAGAATCGTCCTCGGACTCGCTCGGCGGTGCCTCGGACTCGTTGTCGGTCGAGTCGTCGCTGCTGGGCTCGCCCTCGGTCGGCGCGCCCTCGTTCATCGCGTCGTCGGTGGCCCTGCCGGCGCCACCCAGCAGGTCGATGATGAAGTGCCCCTTCTCGTCTCGCTCGGACTTCATCCAGCCTTTGTCGGGGAGGTCCTTCATCATAAACGTGCCGGCGCGGTAGTCCTGGACCAAACCCCACTCTTCCATGCACGGACGGGCGATGAGCAGCGGCGTCCACCCCTCGACGAGATGGATCGTGATCTGCTTCTTGACGCCGAACGGCCACACGTTCAAGGTCACGGACCGCTTGGCCTCCAGCGTCTTGCCGTCTCCGAATCGAAATCGTCGGTCGCTCTTGCCGTACTCGACCTCGTGCAGCAGCTGGCGTGAACGCAGCAGCTCCTCCCACTGCGCCCAGATCTTGTCGCCCATGACGGGTCGCGTCGCACCGCCGTCGCTGATGCCCTTGCCAGTCGACATCAGGTACACCTCCTCGGTCGAGTTAGCGTACTCTAGCGTCTCCACGTCTTCTACCATGGCGGCGTGCTCCGAATCGGGCTTCACGAAACCTCCTCCACGGAATCGCTTGAACCTCGGGCCGTGCTGCTGTGTCGAGCCTGTAGCGGTCGATCCTGCCGGCGTCGCCGTCGGGGGCCTGTTGAAGATGTTCACCTTCGGCCTGAACACCTGGCGCGAGCCGGTGCCCTTGCCTTTGCCTTTGCCTTTGCTGCGGCCCTTGCCCTTGCCGCCCGTCGGCTTGGCAGAGCGCGACGCGCCCTTGCCGTGTTGAAAGTTGTTGTCGGGCGCGACGGCAACGATCGGGTAGAAACCTCTCGACTTGGCGATCTCCGCTACGCGCCTCTTCGCATCCACGAAACTGAGGTAGGCCTCGTCGCACGCGATCTGGGCTTCTTCCACGTCCTGCGGCAGCTCCTCGGCGACGTCGGCCTCTTCCTCGTACTCTTCAGCGTCGTACTCCTCGTATTCGTCGTAATCGTATTCTTCCTCCTCCAGGTATGAGTCTTCGTAGCTCAGGCCTCGCTCCCACTCGTAGTCGTTCGTGTAGTGCACGTCGTCCTTATGACCCTGCCCGACCAGCATCCTCTCAACTCGCTTCACGTCGCGCTTGTCGGGTACGGCTTCGGCTCCATATGTATCGAGTAGGGCCTTCTTCACACTAATCCAACTGAGGCCATTGGCACATTGACTTCGCACCTGGGCGGCGCCCGAAGGTGGGACGGCCGCTCGTGAGAGGAGGTGCCAGCCCGCCAGCATGTCGGGAATCTCCATGCCGACCTCCTTGAGCTTCCTCAGCTCTCGCTTGTGACGCAAGCAGTAGAGCTTCATCGTCTCCTTATCCTGGCGAGCGAACTTGCCGAAAAACTGATCTGTGCGGGCTGGCAGCTCGGTCTGGTTATCGTACTTGTAGTATTCGTCGAGGACCTGGAACAGCGGCTTGAAGGCGTCCTCGGACTCCAGCTGATCCAGGTCGATGTCCTCCGTAGCCTCCGCGGCTTCACCCTGCAGCGAGTTCATGATCAAGAACGCGCCCTCGCTGATCGCGGTGGTGCCGCGCTTCCTGCAGCAGCGCTCGAAGACCTCCAGCTTTCGGCGAAAGACTCTGTAGCCGTCGGTCTTGAGCAGCTCGTATGTCGGTGCCGTCTTTGACAGGCCTGCGTCAAGGCCTCTTCCCCCACCGTCCCAGGCGGAACTCGCCCTCTGCCACCAATCGTTCCAGTCCCCGCCCTCGGCGTAATGACCCTCCACGGTGCTGTCGGGAGATGGCGGGACTCGGGACGTCTCCGCTGTCGGTGCGCTGCCGGCGGCAGCTCCTGCAGCGGCGGCCGCTGTGGCCGCGGCGCCGGGCGCCCTCGCGGGCGGCGGTGACGCCGGAGTGGCCTGCGGCCTCGGCGGGCCCCGCGGGCGCGGGTCCGCTGGCATGGCGGCGGCGGTGGGGAGCCGGAGTGTGGATCTCCGGCTCCGCTACCAATATCAACCGATGGTAGCACACGAAGTCTACTCGGGATTGTTCGTAAAGAATTGATAATCTTGATTATCGGCCGTATGAAATGAAACGCAACCTTTTACATGACTCAGGGGCCCCTGAACATCAAACGGCGATGGTACATGGCAATCGCATTGCAACGCTGCAAGCAATACTTCACGTCTGTGCTAATCTGCATACACACTGGCAAGAATAAACACTACACAAATTCGGTAGAACAGGGGTGATATCGACATGGGCCTGGTTCTGCCGCTCGCACCCACCTCACAAGCCCAGCATTTTGCTGGTGGCAGTCGGAAGCCCAGGTTGCTCGTGGACTTCCGTACCTTGTCAACCAGCCACCAACCTGGGCGGCCACACGGCGCTTGTCCCGACGTGTACGTTTTTAATCCTACTTCACCGACGGTATCAATGCAGTATTTGCCTCCACGTAGTGGGCCCCGTCATCGCCCGTGGGTGCCCTGGTGCTGCGGCCCGGCTGCTGCCATGGTCCACGCTGACGGGGCCGACCTCGCCAGCCCGCTCGGGAAAAAGTCTTCCGCCTTTGATGAATGGCCCCGCCTCTTCCCCCCTCCGCGGCCGCCGTGTCCGTCCTCTTCCGTCTTCTGTACGCTGGCCAATTCGCTTGTCTGTGCCCCCGTTTAGTTTTATCAGCGGTGCAGCCATTCTGCCTCGCCGCCGACGGAAAAAATGGTGTCGGCACCGCCGTCAGGTTCTTTCTTCGACTCCTGGTCATTCCCGTCGCCTCAAGGCGCCCAGCCCGAAGAGCCGGCTGCGTTCAGCTGATTCGATGCCGCTTCTTTGCTGTCTCTCCCTCTTCTCCATTTGGAGAGACGGAAGGCGTGAGGGGAGTAGAAGGGACGGAGAGGAGGTCAGCGGGCGTCAGGAGGCCATATGGGGCATGTTTCCGGATGACATGGGGTCGTCTCAGCGAATACCGGGTTGCAACCGTCGACGTGTAGGTCCGCTGTAAAAAGGTAACGAAAAACTTGTGATTTCGGTCGCCTGGAGCACTTGGCGTGGGCCATTCAGTTCGGGAATCACGGCATGTACGCGATGACTTTGGATTGGAAGTGCGATGCGTTTGTGGAGAACGCAAGCTTGTTGAGAAGAGGGATGAATTCGGACATTAAAAAAACGGGTTGGAGGCCCTTATCCCAACGAGATCTCGTGCAACGCGGCCATCAGCGCTTGTGATAAGGGTGCATGGGGGAAGGGTGTGGGATACAGGAGGCATGTTCACGTCGCGCTGCCGCCGTTCTTGTACGGCAGTGGCCGCCCAATGTCGTTTTGTGTTGCGGGCCTGGACCATGTTTCTTACTCTTCGCACCATGCGTATCCCCACCAGCCCAACCAAAAACACCACCACAATACAACTTTTAGCGAGGCGTTCACCCTGGACGGCCAATGTCCCTCATCAAGGATGTGTAGCAGCATGCAGTCACGCTCAGAGAGCCTTTTAGTGGCATCCTGGGGCCATCATGGTGCCCTCTTTGGACCCTCTTGAGGCCATGTTTGAGTCTGGTGGGGCCTGTTCAACGTTCTGCGCCACCGACTGATTTTGCGCCTCGTTGTTTGAAACCGAGCTGCAGAGCGTCCGACAAAAGGACAAGGTGATCGTGATATGGATGATGATGATGATGATGATGATGATGATGATGATGATGATGATGACGACAATGATGATGCTGGTGATGGTGATGATGGTGATGGTGATGGTGATGTTGATGATGCTGGTGGTGGTGGTGGTGATGATGATGCTGATGATGGTGATGCTGATGCTGCTGCTGATGATGATGCTGTGGATGCTGTTGCTGATGATGATGACGATGATGATGATGCTGCTGATGGTTCTGCTGCTGATGATGATGCTGGTGATGATGATGTTGATGCTAATGCTGATGCTGATGATGCTGATTCTGCCGATGATGGTGATGATGATGCCCATGCTGATGATGATGCTGATGATGATGCTGATGCTGATGATGATGCTGTTGATGAGTATACTGCCTCTGATGATGATGATGCTGATGCTGATGCTGATGCTTGTGATGATGCTGATGCTGATGACCATGCTGATGACCATGCTGATGATGCTGATGATGCTGTTGCTGCTGATGATGATGCTGCTGAGGATGATGGCGATGATGATGCTGATGCTGATGGTGATGATGCTGATGCTGATGATGCTGATGCTGATGATGATAATGATGAGGCCGAGGATGATGATGATGATGCTGATGATGATGATGATGATGATGATGCTGATGATGATGATGATGTTGATGATGATGATGATTATGATGATGCTGCTGCTGCTGATGATGTTGATCATGATGACGATGCTGACGATGCTGATGTTGATGCTGATGCTGCTGCTGACGATGATTAATGTGATGATGATGCTGATGATGATGATGATGATTATGATGATGATGATGATGCTGATGACGATGACGATATCGATGACATTGATGCTCCTGCTGATGATGCTGATGATGATGGTGGTGATGATGATGCCGATGCTGCTGATGATGATGATGATGATGATGATGTTGATGATGATGATGTCGATGATGATGATGATGATGCTGATGATGATGCTGATGATGATGATGATGATGATGATGCTGATGATGATGATGATGATGATGATGATGATGATGATGATGATGATGATGATGACGACGGCTACCTGTGGCTCCAATCGGGCCGCACTACCAGTCTCAAGTCCCTTTCGGGCGGCTCCCATGTAAGACCTCGCCCAGTCCTTCTCAGATATTCTGCGATACGGGGCTCAGGCTGTGGGAGCCTCCGTGGCGGCGCGCGCGGCAGCGCCCAGCTGCGGGGCCTGCGTGCCGCAGCTGGCTTGTCCCGCCATCCCCGCCTGTGTCTGCGCGGGCGCTGGCGGGCAGGTGGTCGAGCCCTCGTGCGGGGGGCTCATCGCGGCCTGCGCTGCGGCCGCCCTGACAGTCGGCCTGGCCGTCGGAGCCGCTGGGGGCGCGCTGCTTGCTCGCAGAGCGGAGTAGCCCCTTCGCCGAGGCGCCCGATGACTGCCTGGACAACGCGGTTCTCGTGGCGCAGCAGTCGCGTGACGCACGAGCTCGCAGCCCTGCGTCACAGTGATGGCGGGCTCGTTTTATGCCATGCGCTACCGCGTGGGGGGCGGGCCGATCCTGTGGCACGAGCGGCTCCCGCAAGGCGAGCGCGGGCCGACCTCGTACATCCTCACGCCCGACTTCGACGACTACGACGAGCCGAATGCCCCAGGCCCCGATGTTCGGGCCGTGATCGGCCTGACAGGCCAAGGAACGACCCCGCCAGGCCTCGTCGGGGCCCACGTTCACCGCTTCCGCCGCCTCCCAACCGCAGGCGAAACGTGGGCTGCGGTGGCCAAGACCGTGGCGGCCGGCTACCCGCCGCCGCCCAACCCGCTGCCCCTGGAGCTCGCGGCTTGGAGCGTCGCGGGCGCCCCGCCTGGCACGTTCCCCCTCGCAGACCCTGCAGCCCCGCCCGCGGCGCTTGCAGGGGCCCCGCCTCCAGCCATTGGCGTGGGAGGGGCAGCGCCGCCCGCGACGCCTGCTGCTGCCGTAGCCTTGGTGCCAGGTGCCGCGCCCGCCGCGGCCGCGCCCTTCGGCGTGGCCCCTTGACTGCCGGCACTAGCCGCCGCGATGGGCGGAACCCCGCCCTCCGCTGCGGGTGCCTGGCGCTTCTGTGGCGGCCGCAGCTGCGAGCCCTGGGGCGCCTTTGGCTGCTGTTGCGTCTCCTGGCGGCGGCTTCAGGATCTTCCAGATGCTGACCAACGCGCGGGGCGAGCGCGAGATGAGGTTCGGCAAGGTCGTCAACACCCTCACTGAGACGCCCGTGCAGGGGTGGCCCGTCGAGGGGCCGCGGACGCTCCTCTGGTGCCTTGCCCTCATGCTAAACATGGCGGGTACACCCACGGCTTGGCATCAGAGGTGGCTTGCCGCCATGGTGCTGGCCGACGATGGCGAGTATGCAAAGCTCCGCGACACGCTCTGCCGCGTCCTCGACCTTGCCGTCGTCTACGACCAGCTGCAGGTGGCCGGGATGGCCGCGTTCGAGAACGTCGCCCGTCGGTCTCAGCTGCTGGAGGAGCGGGTCTACGAGGCGCGGGCCTCCGCGACCATCGCGGCGGCCCCCGAGGCCAAGGCAGGCGACAAGGGCGGCGCCCCCTCGGCCAGCGGGGCCGCGCCCGAGACCAGCTGCATCCTCGGCGCGGGGGTCTCCGAGGCCAATCTGTGCATCTCGCCGAAGTTGCTCGAGTGCATCGCCGACCAGATGAAGGCCGAGGCCGCCGTTGGGAAAGGGCGTCGCAAGGCTGGCGGGGGGCGGGCCTTGCGAACGCCATGGCGCCTGGAGACTTGTGGCCCGGCTGCGGGGCGCGCCCGAGTGGCGCCCGTCAGGCGGCCCCCTCGCTGCTCGACCAGATCGACAGCGTGGCGTTTTTCCCCTTCGCCCTCTTCCTGTGGATCGAAGATCAGGCACTTCGTCGTGGGGCGTGTCCGCCCGCGCTCGGGCCGTTAGGTGTGCAGCCTGGAGCGAGTGGTTCAACGACGCCGTCGACGCTCTCGACGACGTGTGCCGCTGCGACCCGTGCGATGTGGTGGCGCCGCCTTCTGGTCTTTCTCCGCGTGCCCGCAGTGACGCTGAAGAGTGTCTGGCTTTTCTGGCTCATCAGTATCGCGATTCTGAGGCTCTCTTGGGTTTTCCGGATTCCTTCGGAGATGCGAGGCAGCCTTGGTGGACTTGCTCGCGTCGGCGCCCGGGGGCTCTGGTGGTCCTCTAGTGCGACCCTGCAGCGTGGAGCTCGTCTCCTGGCCGAAGCGCGCGCCGCCTGTTCCGACGGCCGACCTCGTCGCAGACGCCGACCGGCGTGCGTTGGCAGGGTGGGTGCGCCATGTGCGACGTGACC